TTAAAAAGAATATTTTTTTCATAAATGAAATAATAAAACAGCTATGGTGCTCATGGGCCACCATAGACAACTGCATGTATCTTTGAAACGATCTATTTTCTTCAAATGATAAAATGAAAATCAGCTCTAATTGTAGCTTGATGATCATTAAATATTATCGTAAAAAGGGATGTCAGAAAGGGAACGAAATTGTTTTGTAATTGTAACTAGATTTCTAAAGCAGTGGCAGTTTGTTGTGTGAAATGAATTCTGTTTGATGACAATATATAAACTTGTAACCAGCCTTGGCACCATTCTTATAACATCTGTAAAAATAGCTAATTGATAAACAGATAACATAAGTACTAAAAATAATTATGTTGTATATATCTGAGTGCTATTTTTACTGTTATCGCTCTAGTAAAGCATATATTAATTATGTACTATGCTTTCTGTTCTTATCAAATAGTAAGCTTCATTTCCTCTGGCTACTTGGATATAAACAACACTGTTTCAGCATGACTTGCATCTGTGGTAGGTCTAGTTCATCAACTCCTAGATTCAAACTTCAAGATACAATAGCTACCATTGTTCAGATCACGTCTAAACTTATAGTCATCTAAACACTACATATTCACCAGCTGATATAGCGCTTTATAGAATTTACATCCCATATCCGACATAGTCGTCACTTCTATGCGTTGCAACATTTGCATGCAGATTGTTCTAATTTCTCATCTCAATGGGAGTAACTTGAAAAATATAAATGTAGGTCATTGTTATTTTGGATTAAATTGTATAGTATAGTTACTATGCTATTTTGTTATCGGGTCTATTTAAATGTGTTTGCTATGCTATTTTGTTTTCGGGTCTATTTAAATGTATTTGCTATGCTATTTTGTTACCGGATCTAATTAAATGTGTTTGCTATGCTTTTTTGTTACCTGGAATATTTAAATGTGTTTGCTATGCTATTTTGTTACCGGTTCTAATTAAATGTGTTTGCTATGCTATTTTGTTTTCGGGTCTATTTAAATGTATTTGCTATGCTATTTTGTTACGGGGTCTAATTAAATGTGTTTGCTATGCTATTTTGTTTTCGGGTCTATTAAAATGTGTTTGCTATGCTATTTTGTTTTCGGGTCTATTTAAATGTGTTTGCTATGCTATTTTGTTTTCGGGTCTATTTAAATGTGTTTGCTCTGCTATTTTGTTTTCGGGTCTATTTAAATGTGTTCGCTATGCTATTTTGTTTTCGGGTCTATTTAATGTGTTTGCTATGCTATTTTGTTTTTCGGGTCTATTTTAATGTGTTTGCTATACTATTTTGTTTTCTGGTCTATTCAAATGTGTTTGCTATGCTATTTTGTTCTCGGGTCTATTTAAATGTGTTTGCTATGCTATTTTGTTTTCGGGTCTATTTAAATGTGTTTGCTATGCTATTTTGTTTTCGGGTCTATTTAAATGTGTTTGCTATGCTATTTTGTTTTCTGGTCTATTCAAATGTGTTTGCTATGCTATTTTGTTTTCGGGTCTATTTAAATGTGTTTGCTATGCTATTTTGTTTTCGGGTCTATTTAAATGTGTTTGCTATGCTATTTTGTTTTCGGGTCTATTTAAATGTGTTTGCTATGCTATTTTGTTTTCTGGTCTATTCAAATGTGTTTGCTATGCTATTTTGTTTTCGGGTCTATTTAAATGTGTTTGCTATGCTATTTTGTTTTCGGGTCTATTTAAATGTGTTTGCTATGCTATTTTGTTTTCGGGTCTATTTAAATGTGTTTGCTATGCTATTTTGTTTTCGGGTCTATTTAATGTGTTTGCTATGCTATTTTGTTTTCGGGTCTATTTAATGTGTTTGCTCTGCTATTTTGTTTTTGGGTCTATTTAAATGTATTTGCTATGCTATTTTGTTTTCGGGTCTATTTAAATGTGTTTGCTATGCTATTTTGTTTTCGGGTCTATTTAAATGTGTTTGCTATGCTATTTTGTTTTCGGGTCTATTTAATGTGTTTGCTATGCTATTTTGTTACCGGGTCTAATTAAATGTATTTGCTATGCTATTTTGTTTTCGGGTCTATTTAATGTGTTTGCTATGCTATTTTGTTTTCGGGTCTATTTAAATGTGTTTGCTATGCTATTTTGTTTTCGGGTCTATTTAAATGTGTTTTCTATGCTATTTTGTTTTCGGGTCTATTTAAATGTATTTGCTATGCTATTTTGTTACCGGGTCTAATTAAATGTGTTTGCTATGCTATTTTGTTACCTGGTATATTTAAATGTGTTTGCTATGCTATTTTGTTTTGGGGTCTATTTAAATGTATTTGCTGTGTTATTTTGTTACCTGGTGCCTTTGGTGGAAAACTTGTCAGATTACAATGAAGACCAAAGAGTACACGAAAACAAAAGATTCGAAATTGTCATCTAATTTTAATTATATTGGGGCAAAAGGGGTAGGAACTATTCATATATCGATACATAGCGACACATAGATTACTCAGTAAGGAACTGTAGAAGTATCAGAGTGCTAGTGTCTGATGTCGTTATCCCGATTAACCGGCCAAACTAAGCGTGCTGCTGAAGGTAATTATATGCCTACTTCCGTTCGTTTTTGAGTGTTTTTAGGCTAGGGCAATTGCATAGTCTATAAATTGGGCAAATTCTGTGTCTAGGGAAGCTTCAAATATCAATAATTTGAAAAAGTTTGATCATGTATGGGCCCTTAAAGAAAACGATTTTAAATCAGTTGTATAAAAGGTATGGAAATACCGTTTCCATAAATCGGCACCTTACACCGCACCAAATTAAATCGGGAACAGTTTTTCACTATCGTGAGAGATAAACAAATTTTATTCAAAAAGACTTGGACAGGTTTTCTTGGATACAATGACATCTGTAATCTCGGCGCTGTATCTAAGTTCAACATCACACTCCCCCGTTTCCACATCTTCGTTATATACAAGACAGTCGCCTTCACTTCTTTGACTTATACTCCGACATTGTGGAATACACGAACATTTTGTAATGCATTGATCTAGAGTAAGACCGAGCTCAGATACGAAGATAACCGGCAATTCGTGCTGACGACACATGCCATTTTCTTCATAGATACTGTAGCCACATCCGTTCTCTGTCAGACAATTTTCATTGCAGTCATTTTGACTGTCACCTGGGACTAATGTAGTGCTGATGGTTGCAACTTTGTTTCGTGAGATACAGTCTGTAATATGCAAATAACTCAACAATACAGAAATCAGCTTTAACAGTTTGTATCCAAATGCTAAGACTTGATCGATTTTTAATGTAGTGCTGATGGTTGCAACTTTGTTTCGTGAGATACAGTCTGTAATATGCAAATAACTCAACAATACAGAAATCAGCTTTAACAGTTTGTATCCAAATACTAAGACTTGATGGATTTTAACTCCACCAAAATAAAGACAAATAATGAAGTTCAGAACATGCTCACCGATGCTATCCTCTGACTTGGTTGGGTAAAACGACATCCTTTTTGGAGAGCCCACTTTGATGGTATTTTGACGTGTTTGATAATGAAAATTTTGCTTACTGTCCCTTTAAATGACGAATAATGCACGGGGGTCTTTCTGCCGAACTATTGATAATCCAAACTACTAAATGTTTTGATAAGGGGTTATTTATTTATGTTAGCCCGCATCCTTACCTTCACAAGATGTGTTAGCAAGCCATCCCCCATTTTCATCACATCTCAAAATACCACCTTTTCCATTTTTCACAAATTCTGGTTGACATGTACAACTGTATATAAAACCAGCAGATCTGCACTCAATGTCAACGTCGAGTGCACCGTTTGCTATAACTGGCTCAAACACACATAGTGGTCGTTCTGGATTAAACAACACATAGTGAAATGGCTAATTGTTCTAATTGATTTGTACAGTGAAACTGTAAGGTTTGTATAGTAGAACTGTAAGATTTGTTTAATGAATCTCTAAGATTTGAAACTGTAAGGTTTGTATTGTGAAACTGTAAAATTTGTACAGTGAATCTGTAAGATTTGTATTGTGAAACTGTAAGATTTGTTTAATGAATCTGTAAGATTTGAAACCGTAAGATTTGTACAGTGAAACTGTAAAATTTTTACAGTGAATCTGTAAGATTTGTACAGTGGAACTGTAAGATTTATTCAGTGAAACTGTAAGATTTGTACAGTGAAACTGTAAGATTTGTACGGTGAAACTGTAAGATTTGTATTGTGAAACTGTAAGATTGGTATTGTGAAACTGTAAGATTTGTGCAGTGAAACTGTAAGATTTGTATTGTAAAACTGTAAGATTTGTACAGTGAATCTGTAAGATTTGTACAGTGAAACTGTGAGATTTGTACAGTGAAATTGTAAGATTTGTATTGTGAAACTGTCAGATTTGTACGGTGAAACTGTAAGATTTGTACAGTGAAACTGTAGGATTTGTACAGTGAAACTGTAGGATTTGTACAGTGAAACTGTAAGATTTGTATAGTGAAATTGTAAGATTTGTATTGTGAAACTGTAAGATTTGTACAGTGAAACCGTAGGATTTGTACAGTGCAGCTGTAAGATTTGCATTGTGAAACTGTAAGATTTGCATTGTGAAACTTTAAGATTTGTACAGTGAAACTGTAAGATTTGTAGTGAAACTGTAAGATTTGTATTGTGAATCTGTAAGATTTGAAACTGTAAGATTTGTACAGAGAAACTATAAGATTTGTATTGTGAATCTGTAAGAATTGAAACTGTAAGATTTGTACAGTGAAACTGTAAGATTTGTACAATGAAACTGTAAGATTTGCACAGTGAAACTGTAAGATTTGTACAGTGAAACTGTAAGATTTGTACTGTGAAACTGTAAGATTTGTACAGTGAAACTGTAAGATTTGTATTGTGAAACTGTAAGAATTGTGCAGTGAAACTGTAAGATTTGTACGGTGAAATTGTAAGATTTGTATTGTGAAACTGTAAGATTTGTACAGTGAATCTGTAAGATTTGTACAGTGAAACTGTGAGATTTGTACAGTGAAATTGTAAGATTTGTATTGTGAAATTGTAAGATTTGTACTGTGAAACTGTAAGATTTGTATTGTGAAACTGTAAGATTTGTACAGTGAAACTGTAGGATTTGTACAGTGAAACTGTAGGATTTGTACAGTGAATCTGTAAGATTTGTATTGTGAAACTGTAAGATTTGTATTGTGAAACTGTAAGATTTGTACAGTGAAACTGAAAGATTTGTACGGTGAAACTGTAAGATTTGTCTTGTGAAACTGAAAGATTTGTACAGTGAATCTGTAAGATTTGTACAGTGAATCTGTAAGATTTGTACAGTGAAACTGTAAGATTTGTATAGTGAAATTGTAAGATTTGTATTGTGAAACTGTAAGATTTGTACAATGAAACCGTAGGATTTGTACAGTGCAGCTGTAAGATTTGTATTGTGAAACTGTAAGATTTGTATTGTGAAACTTTAAGATTTGTACAGTGAAACTGTAAGATTTGTACAGTGAAACTGTAAGATTTGTATTGTGAATCTGTAAGATTTGAAACTGCAAGATTTGTACAGAGAAACTATAAGATTTATATGGAGAATCTGTAAGATTTGAAACTGTAAGATTTGTAAAGTGAAACTGTAAGATTTGTACTGTGAAACTGTAAGATCTGTACAGTGAAACTGTAAGATTTGTACAGTGAAACTAAGATTTGTACAGATTTGTACAGTGAAACTGTAAAATTGTACAGTGAAACTGTAAGATTTGTACAGATTTGTACAGTGAAACTGTAAGATTTGTATTGTGAATCTTTAAGATGTGTACAGTGAAACTTTAAGATTTGTACAGTGAAACTGTAAGATTTGTATTGTGAATCTGTAAGATTTGAAACTGTAAGATTTGTACAGAGAAACTATAAGATTTGTATTGTGAATCTGTAAGATTTGTACGGTGAAACTGTAAGATTTGTACAGTGAAACTGTAAGATTTGTACAGTGAAACTGTAAGATTTGTACTGTGAAACTGTAAGATTTGTACAGTGAAACTGTAAGATTTGTACAGTGAAACTGTAAGATTTGTACTGTGAAACTGTAAGATTTGTACAGTGAAATATTTTTTGTTATGCTTTAGAAGGTATATTTTATATTCATTGTATTTATTAAATTGTAGAGTTAAAGGAATCTATTCTTCACAGTATTTGCTTTACTAACCAATTTAGTTGTTTTTGTATATATATTGGTATAACAGACTAAACAGTACTGATAGTCTTATAACCTCTTATAAGACAAAAATATAGTTTTGTCAATTGATTTCATTAAAATACGATTCTTTCCTTCTGGAAATTTCAAAACATTCCCATTGGATGTTGAGTGGCAACCCTGACAAACCTCAACAAAATTAGGCTTTTGATAGCTAGTTGGTGGTTGTTGAAAGAAATTGTAGCATGGAGGTTGAAACAGGTTGCGAAACAACTTTTTGGTTACGGATTTACGATGATGGGATTGAGACGCAATCTTATCATGCTCGCAAAAATTCCCCAAATTCTCCATTATTTTCGTTTAATTGACTTTAATAAGGTCTTCCTATTTACTTTTACTTCATACATACAATTTACGTGTACATGGAGATTTGGCAAACCATGCAGTGGGCAATGCGGGAAGAGTAATTAAGATATTGCCAAACTCAGGGAGAGGTCAATTGAACACGTTTGATAGATTTATTACATATCAATTACCATCTATCTGTAATTGAAATAAAAAGCCTAACTATTTCTCAGTGCTTTACACTATATCCCATATGAAACCGATACGGTACAACTCATATAAATTGTACTTAGTTTTCATCTGCCAGAGATCTAAACAACTTGTGTTAGTTCAGCTGTTTTCTTACCTTTTGAACTGAATCTACCTGAATTACTGAAATCAATATATGTTCAGTTAAGTGTCAGAAGAAATTGGATAGTTTAAACCCGTTTGAAAACAGTTTACATGTATTGGAAGAGGTTATATTGGTGTAATGGTAATTAAATTTCTTCACAAGTCAATTAATGAATTAATTATTACTTTAAAATACAACTAAAAATCAATAATAATTAAATAATTAAAAAAAACCACCATAATATTATATTTGAATAATATAGTATAAACTGTAAAAACTGTTATTACAAAGTTACGGAGGCTAGCTACTTGAACTAATGAAGATTTCTATAGTTGAAACGGGTAAATCATGAAAAAGGGTTGAGGAACATTTTTTACACCGCTTTCAAATTTTGGTTGCAGGTGCATGATTTCAGAAGGATGAACGAGGTTGGTTGAAGCAGGTTGGTTGCCTGTCTGAATCCATCTGTAGGGAAGCGGCGACATGTTGACTTCTTTTGATGGCCATCTTGTCTTGGAATCTCTTTCATGTATACAATAATGTCGAATCAGTAATATACAGTCACGTAACCTAATTTCGTGCGAACTTATTTCGAGCATCTTTGAAAATGATAAATGATTTACATGTGCGTCCTCGTGTGACCTCCGCATGCATTTGCATGTTTCGATTCACATGGTTTGATAAATATTTCCTATCGTTTCAAAGCAATGTTGAATTTATTATCTATTTCTAACAAATACAAAATGGCGGATTTCAGTTATTACCAAATGTCACAATTTTTTTCGGCCAAATTTCCTTATAATCCAAAGCTGTACTCGGAATTCCAAGTGTTGTCTGCTAGAATATATTCCAGTGAACAAAATCACTTGACAAACTAGCGAATTCCATATCAGCATAAAACAATGTAGGCCTTATTCTTATGTTGTTTCAATGAATTTTAGCAATAAATTACTCTAACGTTACATATCTTATTTTGACAGTGACAATTTTTTTTCTCCAAATCTTTGTTATTTGAAAGAATTGTCATTAGTTATAATGCATTGTAATATATTAAAGATAAATTCTAAGAAATGATGGATGATTATACCGAGTTGGTTAATCCTGAAATATTTGTCAAAGTGGGGGATTCATATAGAAAATCGAAACAAAGCAATATTAATTATTTTATAGAAACATCCAAGACATCCGTTTCTCAATTTTGACGAAATTCGGTGTTGAATCCTTTTATGCACGAATATATTAGATTACACCACTGTGCATAATTTTGTATTTTTACTACGCGTTTTGGGACAACTTATTTTAGTGAAACTTAAGTTTAAGACACAAGATTGTAAGATATAAAGTAATTTGGTCAGATGGTAAGTCATATCTATCAAATGGTTGATCATTTTACCTAAAATTAACAGGTTGTTTAGTGAAGCATTTTGGCAGGTTTACCTCGTTATAAAACCTCTAAACTGATCGAATTTTATTGAAAGGTTATAACATAAGAGTCTGATTGTAAGGTAGACGATTAGGACACTCGTTTCCGTGACTAGCAATGCATATCAAGAACTGCCTTACGGTGACTACATTGAAGTTTCAATAAAATTTTAATTTCCGAAAAATGGAAACTAATCCATATTCAACTCAAATACTCTAAATCTTTAGCTCTCAGTGACTTTCAAGTAAAATCGTACAGGAAAGTACTTATGTTATCTTCTGGTAACCTTTCACTCGCTTCGCCAATTATCAAAAGCAAAATATTTTAATGAATCCTTTACAGGTGGTACATTAATAATAATGTAATAATGTTACAATCACTAGAGATGCCTCAATCATTATATTATATTATATTATTACATTATCTGGGAAATTTTCCAAAAGATTGTCAGGTAGTTCCTGAACACCAGGGGAGATACAAGTGCCCCAGATGAAAGCAGCGCTCTAAATGATATTGAAGTACATGTATTGAAGTAACTCATTTGTTCAAGAATGCTGCCCTTTATTGAGCAAACGAAGATGGTCAGCGCATTGTGCAACGAGGGCAAGTTTTCCCTTTAAACAACATAACATAACATTAGCCTACTCATTTTCAGAGATTAAATTTAGAAATTTCAAATTAATGTACATGTCGTTTTTTGAATTTTTATTTAATGAATACCAATATAGAAAAAAATGGCTACACAGACAAACTGTTAGACTTTTAAATCACTTATCCAAACATCACTTAATGTAATAAACCATCTTTTTCATTACACCATATTGGATGCGAGGATGTGGGTGGTGGTTGTTTTTGTTTTACTCACGATTCTTGTAGGAAACTCTTGTGTTTACTGTTTACTGAGCCAATTTACAATTTGTATGTATCAGATGTAATCCATTAATGAAACCACGTCATTTATAAGCAATATCTATTAAAGCATTGTGTAACTGTTCTAAAACCAGACTATATGTGGTCAGATTATGGTTTTAATGATGATTTTTTTGACAATCGATTATAGTTATGCTATTTACAAAATTCTATCTTTTAGATTTTTTCTAGTTTTCAACAGATAATACGTTATTGGCTATTTTATATGAGCTAGATATTATACATAGTGGTGTCCACTTTACAGAAAATAGAAGTTTGAATATCTTACTTGGTGAGCGGCCTTTACATGTCAAATTTTATAAACTTATGAAAACTAAATTAACAGTTCAAAACAGCTCTAAATACATCTTTCACGTCTGGAAAAACACATCAAATTTATACTGACGAGCTTTGATGCCAAACACAAAGTTGTATGTTTTGATACATACAGCGATATATAAAACTTTAAAATAATCAGATATAAAAGTATGCATATAATACAATCATGCTTATTCCTGAAGGTTTATAATGCAAATATATTTTTCCATGCTATTTAATTTTGCTATTAATTGATGCATTCATTAATTTTATACATAAAATTGAATTAAATTCGTGTATTCGTTTGAAATGAAGGATGTGTTAGCATCACTGCATATCACAGCCAGGATTCGGTCCTCTGATCGTTAGTCATCACTGTATCTAATTCGGTCGCTCGTTCTAAATAAGAACAGTAGTCCTTATATATCCGATATTTTTAGCGATATGAATGATTGTAAAACCTACACAATTGGTTGCGTCCCTTGAAACAGTGCTGTCCTTTTAGAGTTGATTAAATAAGCAAGAAATTAAAGATAATGAGATATACGAGTGTCTATTTCAGACAATGACCTTTCCTTCTTCTCACCATTCTTCTTTAAATGACGTACACAATAGATGTTAATAAGACCTCCGAAAGTCTCTAACCATCGACCGGGTCTAATAATCATTACACAGACGCGAAAACCATATCATTTATTACTGCTGCGGGCGTAGACTTACCAAAAACGGCAGCAAAATGTCTCCGTGATTGAAGGTAATGATTATATGGTTTTTAATATATCGGTAGGAAGTAGTCAATATAAACGTCGCTACACCCCCGTATTTTATCACTCTTCAGGCTTAACTTGACATTAATTGAAGACAAATTTCTTTTCTCCGTTGATTACAGGTTTAATAATATCCTTTTAACTTTATAAAAAGGATTACGGTTTAATTTCTCAATGAACCCTTCATCGATGGGACAATGGTCTGCAGGTGGTAAAAGGGGGGGGGGAGAGGGGGGGGAGAGGGGGGGGGGAGAGGGGGGGTCATTGATTCGACAGATAATACAAGACATACATCTACTCATTACCGATTTAACCGGGATGTAGACAATGACATAGAAAAAAAGCGTACTCTCGACTAAAGGGTTTATTGTAGACAGATTCTGTTCCTGAAAATTTGTTTTCTTAGGTGAATTTCTTTTTATGCAATTCCTTAAGTGTACAAAATGCAAGCAATCAATACGACAATTCAATTCACTGGTTTCAAATCGCATCCAATTTGCAGTTTCACCAGTGTGCGTTAAAATAATAGAACAATTGAATTACAGACCATATATGGTCATTTAATTGTGTTTGTTTCGTCCCTGAGGTTAATTTGTACTAGTAGAACAATATTTACGTATTAGATTGTCGTGAGCCATTGACCTCGAAACCCATCTCAGAAATACCAACCACAAACAATGATAACGTAACATCAAGAACAATGGCTTGTAATTACTTCTTATAAAAATACTCTTTAATTTCAGATTATTTGACACCCAAATGATAAGTAATACAATTATTCTTATCAGTTTATATTCGTAATTAAAAATACTAATTAATCACGAGAACTCGAGTAAGTGACTTCATTGTTCAGTTAGAAGTGACGTGCAATTTTCACTTCCTACGTAGTTAGTTCTTATTTAAACTTGGGGAGTATCGCAACACTTTAGTATTTTATTATATTATTTTCAATAATTTGTAAGTACACGATTTTTAATTGTCATATTTTAATATTTGTTTTGCAACGAAAATAGCGAATAATAGTCAAGTGGTTTAACCACAGGAATAAAAAAGAAACTTGCAATGTCTAGAAATTTACAGATTGAGTTCTATCTCAAATTGAACATCTGAGATATTATCTGAAAAGTACAAAATTGCATGTATTTTAGTAATTTTTAACCAATTATTTAAGTAATAAGTCTGAATTAAAATCCTGGAATTGTATAAGGACGTTTTGCAGAAAATGTTCAATCTTTGACGAAATTCTTAATTTGAATTTTGATACATTTGTTTAGTCAATGTAAATCCCTATATTTTGCTTTACAGCGAAAACTCCTTCAGACACAAAGTATTAGTTAGCACTTTTAATTCATTTCATAATTGTTCATTCAATCATAGTAACCCATTTATCAAACTTGAAGACTATTTTTGAATACCAATAGATAGTCATAAAATGGTGAGTGATATTTGAGTCTAAATTTAGTATATTGAGAATGTAATGTCCACCTGTGACTAGTTATAATACTACCAATTAATCGACTATTTTCTATTGGTCAATCAGCCAACAGATTGATGGCTGCCTGTTCATGTAAAAAAATTTTAACTTATATTTAATCAAGAGAAGGTTATGAATCTTGATTTTTTTAATTCTCGGGAATTCAATAGTGAAGAAAAGCTAAGCCTTCGATTTACAGCTTTGTATTGTTGGGATAATTTAAGCTTTAAGGTTCTGGTTCTGTCTTTGTTCTCATAGAGTACTTGGGTTGGAACGATTTTGGGCTCCAGCACTGCTTGTGTATTTACTTGGTCAGTTCCAAACTTTGTACTATAAGAGACTCTGCAGACGCCTTTAAAATGATATTTGTTTTAGGCTTAGAAAGTGTTTTTATTTCAATCGAGTTGACAGTTTTGTATATACATGTACAGTTTTCTTGCGTATTAGAAAGTAAAAGAGTCCAAGGATAAACTATTATTAATATCATCACAAGATTTCGATCGTTTGTCACTCTCATTAAACATTACTCTCGTTCTTATTTCAGGTCTAGAGATTTGAAGATTGAAGGTATGACCAGATGCTAAAATGGATTTACATCTCATCTCAGCAACCATTCTTATTCATATTTTAATCTTCATTGAACATGTCCAGTTTATTACCGCTTTTAACCCAGTTGTTTCAACAGAGAAGGGTAAAGTCCAGGGATATCGTATGGATAACAATGGAGCTGATGTTGATATATTTTTCGGAATTCCGTTCGCCAAACCTCCGTTGGGTGATATGAGATTCAAGGCACCAGTACCAAATGATCCATGGAAAGGCACACTCAATGCAACTACTAAACCAAACGCTTGTATGCAAGGAATAGACAAGTACTTCAATTTTTCTGGAAGTGACATGTGGAATCCAAATACCAAAATAGATGAAGATTGTTTATATCTAAATGTTTGGGTACCACGAACCAACCCACCGTTTCAAAATAAAGCAGTCATGGTTTGGATCTTTGGTGGCGGATTTTATAGCGGAAGCTCTGCTCTTGATGTTTATGACGCACATCATTTAGCCACTGAAAATGATGTAATTGTTGTGTCTCTTCAATATCGGGTCGGTGCTCTTGGATTCCTGGCAATGGGACATCCAGAGGCTCCGGGAAATGCTGGTTTGCTCGATCAAAGAATGGCATTGGAATGGGTCCAACGCAACATACACCATTTTGGAGGAAGTGCGCGTAATGTGACTATATTTGGGGAAAGTGCTGGTGCTGTGAGTGTAGGGTTACATTTAGTTTCTCCTCTCAGTAGGGGACTGTTTGATAGAGCTATATTGCAAAGTGGGGCAGCTCAAAATGTGTGGGGTACCATGCCAAGTTCAGAAGCTGAGCGTAGATCTAGAAAACTAGCAGACATTTTAAAATGTGACGGTAAAGCGGAGGCTGACGTTCTTATAGATTGTTTACGTCGAGTACCACCAGAAGACTTCCCAAAATATGAATTCTTGGTCTCATCAGGGATCATTCAGTATCCGTTTGTACCAGTGGTGGACGGAAATTTTTTAGTTGAAACTCCTGCGGAATCGTTGGCTAGGGGGAATTTTAAAAGGACGCCGTTATTATTGGGTTCCAATAAAAATGAAGGCATATGGTTCATTATGTATGAAATACCATTTTTTGATATAAAATTACCAGGATTAATAACTAGTGACCAATTTAAAAGTACAATAGGTAAATTGTTCGAGTTCTATCCACATTTTCCTCATAAACTAAATGACTTTGGACAAGCTGCCGTTATGTTTCAATATACACATTGGCAGGATCCCAATAATCAAAGTATGAATAGATATATGGTGGACCAAGCAGTCGGAGACTTGTATTTCGTTTGTTATGTCCAAGAAATGTCAAAATATTATGCTCAAGCGGGCATGGATGTATATAGTTATTTATTTAACCACAGATCAAGTGTTTCAGAATGGCCTCTATGGGCCGGTGTTATGCACGCTGATGAAATTCCATTTATATTCGGATCACCTTTAAACACTCACGAAAAGTATTTAACAAGTGAAAAAGAATTAAGTAGAAAAATGATGCGTTATTGGACTAATTTTGCTAAAACTGGGTAAGTAATATTTACTATTATGCAAACTGATGATACTGGTTACATGACGAACTTTTCCCACCAATCTACTTATTAACACTGGTCAAATTGTCCTTTGTGCATACTGCATCTTACTAGTGCGACACACATGAGTCATACTATGACATGTTTAACATTTTCCTTTTGGACGTAATTATGTTCAAACTAAGCCAATTGACTAATGTCTGTCTTCAAATTGATCAATGATTAAGGATTCTTTCTTCGTGACATTATTGAATTTAGAATTTTATCTTAATAACTGTTTCTGAACAGACTGAAAAGTGATGAAAATCTTTAAAACTTTTCTTTATCACTGTACCACATTGGTGATATGAATTTGCAGCTGAGAACAGATTTGACAAAATTGGTTCAAGATTTCGCAGGGCACTGTATTGTAAATGACAGTGTGTTAGTGGGCACTTGTCTACTCTCAGTTTAGGATTTGTGTGTGTTTATGAATGAAACATTATTTCTGTTTTTCAGTGATCCAAACCGCGGTCCAAATGAAATCAGTTTAAATGAATGGCCGCCTTTCAAGCCTCGTACTCAGGATTATTTAATATTATCAACCGACCATCTTCATCAAGCTGATAAATCACAAGCTGTTAAACAAGGTTATAAAGCACAGGAGTGTGCATTTTGGCAAAATTATCTACCTCATCTTGTCGCTGGAACCGGTAAGTTAATCTTCCCTTACCCCTAACAACAGAACGGTTTAACCAAAACTCAATCGTAATGGCCCTGTCGCACCAGAAAGGCGTTCTTACTGGGCTGCTATTGCGGTGGTAAATTGGCTTAGGGCCATATGCAGCGCTCTTACTTTACCTTTACTTTGACTTAAGTTAGACTTAAGTCGAACTTTAGGTATGCACCGGTTGATCTTTACGAAATTCGTGCTTAAATTTGACTATCAAATGTAGAAAATGAAAGCCTAACTTTGTAAAGTTCGACTTTACCCCAAGTTCAACTTTAGTCAAGGTAAGAGCGCTGCATACGGCCCTTTGAGTCTGTTAAGGGCGTCTTAGTGCAAGACATCGTTCAATTGTTGCCATTGTCGCCGCTATTCGCCGAGTCACGGCGTTTTTTTGGACATGTTCGGGGATCTGTTCTGCAACCGGTGACTGGGGGTACAACCCGTTGAAAGTGCTATAGGATCGAGAAGGCTGTCAGATAAGCGTTGTAACATCTCATTGACTGGTAAAACAGGGCAGTACACGCGTGGCCGCAAAACAGTTTGAACACAATATGATCCCATAACTCGCGGTTAGAGGTCGTCAGTTTTCATGTTTGTAATTTTTAGGGGCTTTATTCATATTGGCCGCAAATAGTACATTTCATGTCGTTGTAATGAATCGATAGGATAGGAAATGGTCGCAATTCGGTGTGACGGGGCTATAAAAGATTGATATCTCGCATACTTACTAACGCCTGCATATAATTACTATCGCTATGCCACAAAAAGAGTATACCCTCAATGATATTAATTAACATTGGAAAATCTTGATGAAGATTTTAGATACTACAACTGTACTTCTTTTGCTTGATATTCAAAAACCCACACAACACTGCTTTTTGGAGGATATCCATTCATATTGTATTTCAATACATCGGTGTTTTACTATCAGAGCTATTGGCGACCTTACTTTAGAATTTTGCTCGAGTGTTTAAGAGGTCTTTCGTGTTTCTTTAACATCATTAATCTTATGATACTAAGCTATTCGAGATCTTATGTGTGGTTATCGCCAACATTTTTTATGTTCCTTCAACACGGATGGTTTTCATTAAGAAACATATTTTCATGTTGAGACCATGACATGTATTAGATTGAAAATGCATGATTTTTTTGCAACTAACAGCATGATAAACAGACATCCATAATAGGCATGGAAATTCCCTTTTTCCTATCCTACCCATAAAGCTACAGCATGAAAATTGGAAGAATGCATGAAAATTTTATCACTACCAGGTAAATAATATTTTAGTTCTGTATATTTATTATCAGATATTATATTACAGTCGTCTAAACATTTTCTTTACCACCGGAGTTCAAATTCAAAACATTCTCGAGCATAAAAACTTCGACGCCGGATTTTCCCACAATGCAACAAACATTTTCAGTCAAGTTAGACTGTCGTTAAAGTCAAGCTGTTACAAACTTCGTCTTATACCTTGACTGCAAAAACAATAATCTTATATCATGGAAGTTTGTAAATGCAGCGATTTGGTTTGATTCAAAGTAAGCGAATACAGCCCACCAGAGTCCTTGACAGAAAGTATGGAAACAAAAAGCCATAATGTTTACAGCCGTTCTGTCGAGGACTGTCTCTGATTGGTTGTATTCGCTGGCGAACATTCCAAATCGCTTGACACTGTGAAGATGCCTCGCGTACAGTTACAATCGGACTCAAACCTTTGGTAATAATCAAGAAGAAAATTATTAACGACCTGATAGTGCTAATTGACGCTGTGTGAATTTGTATTATTGCAAGAATGACTGATGAATTCAATTCTGAAAATTAAGCAAATATTTAGACAACTGTATTTTTATATATTCAAATAAACTAAAACATAAATAGCTGTCATCTTATCCATTTGATATTTGAATATCACCTTCATGGCGTCGTGGATTAACTCTATCATAGTTTACTTCTTGCATTTTTTATGACATACCTTGTTGCGATAATCGTTAAGAATGCAGGATATGGATCGGTTGATATTATTGGAGCGATATTTAAGAAATCTCTAACATACCAATCATAGCCCTGACCCTTGTAAAACGAGTCCAATAATTCAAGCATTTCCCGTACATGCGATACAGTTTCTTTCGAAAGATTACACAGGAAGCTCGATATGATGCCCGACAACTTCCTTAGTAGCTATCGTCTCCTGATTGTCCAGTTGCATGCTTGTTAGTTATGATACTCGGTGCTGACTTAATTCAAATTCAATTTCAATCATTATTTCAGCTGATATATCAGATGTAGAAAGAGAATGGAAATTACAGTTTTATCAGTGGAAGAATCAATACATCGTGGACTGGAAGAATCAGTTTGACAATTTCCTCAACAATTACGAAAGAAGACTGCAGACTTGTGGAGGAACACCGTAATAGGTTCAGATGTAATTCACAGTATCCTCGGATCTTCATGTCATTGGCTCGGAGATCACTTCAAAAATTTTGATTCGTGTACATTGAGCAATTCGATATATAATATTCGATCCATTGCAGTTATTTTTCGTGAAACCGATGGTAATATGTAAGAGTATCTTTGAGTAAACGTGAAGGTATTTAATCAATGGAACGTCATTGATAATCTAAAAATGAAATCAGACTTTTATAGAACATTGTACATAGTATCATTGTATCACCAGTACTTCAAATTCGCATAGCCAAGTTATCGAGGAACATACGGCATTAAAATATGTAATCCCCTCATAAATTATACTGCTTGGTACCAAAGACGGTCGATCCATCAATCAATTAGCTTGCAGAAACTGAAACAGGGCAGATGTTTCGGCATATTAAAAAATTCGCCCCCATCGTACCATAATATGAAAGGTTCTTCACCTACATCATAACCATTATATCACTTTGATGCTTGCAGACTCAATGTACATAGTTTATTTTAGAAAGGAATCAGACTATATGTTAACGCCTGATTCTGTTTTTAACTGCGAATTTTAAATGTCTTTTAGATGTCAATATACTAGTAAACCAAAACCTACTTCAAACTAGGCTGGTCACAAGGGAAATGAGCGAATTGGAGATTTATTTTCTGTCGTAACCGAAAGTGTCCGTTTGAATTAAAAATGTTGGTTAAGTGCCACAAAGTTTAGTGATATTTAGGATGAGGGAGGGCATTGCCGCCCGCTTAAAATCTTGTAATAGTTTTATATTGTTATCAATATTATGTATAGTTATTAGTCTTTAAATATATACTTTTGATATTAAAGATATTATTATCGCTGGTATTTTTATATTCATGCACTTGCATAGCTCCGTGTTGTGCATGTCGACTGACGAGCTTTCTTTCAGTCAGTTGGTGTCATTGATAAGATCTGAAATTCAGTAATGCTTACTCACCTGCCCCATTTGTCCGGTATCTGAATGAGAATCTTTCTGGGATAATTTATACATAGATTTATATGTTGCATTAAGACGTGATAAGTTGAATGAGATATAATGGGTTTATATGAGCAGTTGAGTAACAATTATAGGTTTATATGATCAGTTTAAGATATTGCAGGTTTATATTACAACTGAGTAAGATATTACAGGTTTGTTTATGATCAATTGAGTTAGATATATCAGGTTTATCTGATAAGTTGATTAACTATTGCAGGTTTATATGGTCAGTTGAGTAAGATATTACAGGTTTATATGATCAGTTAAGAAAGGTATTACACGTTTATATGAGCAGTGGATTAACTATTGTAGGTTTATATGATCAGCTACATAAATTTACAGGTTTATATGGTCAATTGGGTTACATATTACAGGTTTATATGGTCAGTTGAGTTGATATTGCAGGTTTACCATCAGTTGATTAACTATTTTAGGTTTATATGATCAGCTACATAAATTTACAGGTTTATATGGTCAATTGGGTTACATATTACAGGTTTATATGGTCAGTTGAGTTGATATTGCAGGTTTACCATCAGTTGATTAACTATTTTAGGTTTATATGATCAATTGAGTTACGCATGCCTACTACAGATTTACTTGTTACGTTGAGTAGGACATAAGTTTATATAATCAGTTGAGTTAGATATTGTAGGTTTGTATGATAAGTTGATTAGATATTGTAGGTTTGTATGATAAGTTGAGTTAGATATTGTAGGTTTGTATGATAAGTTGATTAGATATTGTAGGTTTGTATGATAAGTATGATAAGTTGATTAGATATTGTAGGTTTGTATGATAAGTTGATTAGATATTGTAGGTTTGTATGATAAGTTGAGTTAGATATTGTAGGTTTGTATGATCAGTTGAGTTAGATATTGTAGGTTTGTATGATCAGTTAAGTTAGATATTGTAGGTTTGTATGATAAGTTGAGTTAGATATTGTAGGTTTGTATGATAAGTTGAGTTAGATATTGTAGGTTTGTATGATCAGTTAAGAAAATGAAAATGAAATGAATGGAGTTTAACGTCCTACTTTTCTGCACCATGTGGGCTAATGAAGACAGGCAACGCCATGTAGGGTGTAATGAGGGAAATTTTGCCAGGACAGCGGCATTAGCCTGCTCTTTTTCGATTTCCAACTGTCGAGGGATCTTTAACATGCACAGCCTGTAGCACACGGGGCCTCGGTTTATTGTCCCATCCGAACGACTAGACGCTTTTTCCATGTCAGCCCCTCGTGCCTGCATCACTGACAGGGGAAAACCGGGTTGTATGATCAGTTAAGAAAGACATTACAGGTTTATATGAGCAGTTGATTAACTATTGTAGGTTTATATGATCAGTTGAGTTAGATATTGTAGGTTTATATGATCAGCTACGTAAATTTTACAGGTTTATATGGTCAATTGAGTTAAATATTGCAGGTTTATGATCAGTTGAGTTACATATGCTTACCTCAGATTTACTTGTTACGTTGAGTAGGCCATAAGTTTATATGATAAGTCGAGTTAGATATTGTAGGTTTGTATGATCAGCTACGGGTATTACAGGTTTATATGGTCAGTTACGTAAGATATTAGAGGTTTATATGATCAATTGAGTTTCGTATGCCTACTACAGATTTACTTGTTTCATTGAGTAGACCATAAGTTTATATGATCAGCTACGTAAGATATTACAGGTTTATAGTCGAGTAGTTAAAGTTAGATTTTATTTATCAATTAATACGAGCAATAAGTCCTTAGTTCTGAACCAAAAGTCTCTATCTGATATCATAGGTATTAATGTGAGGGTGAAAATGAATACTTCAATAGTCATAAGTGGCTGTTGACGTCAAGTCTATATCTATTCTGTACTTATGATATTTCAATTACAACAATAAGGAGAATTGGTTCACATTTACAATGTGTTTGTACGTCACGAGTTAAAGTGATTTAGGAATTAGAAATGTGCACTTCAATTTACGAAAGTGCTTTCCCATTACATTATTCTAATGAGGAGCCCAGCTTGTAAATGGTTCAATCAGTAATTTGGTTTACTCATAGTGGCAATCAAGTATATAGTAGTCAAAATAGTAGAGAGTAGGGTGGTTGAAAGGTAACAAGTAACTATTCAACAGATGACACTGGGTTCAAGCTGAGTCAAAATGAAAATACACCCCCCCCCCCCCCCCCCCAAACAAAAAAAGAAATACGCCCACCATTAGGTTTGATTGCAAGTACATATCATTGTTTGTAGCCTTTAGCCAATTGTAAACAGACTAACGGATGAAAAAAATGTTTCCATAATACGTGTGGGCATATAAAAATCAAAAGAATCCACAAAGAATTGTTGCTTGAAGAGTGAGCAAGTGTTGCACTATACAGTCAATAGATTGAAAACGCTAAGTTGCAGGCGATATTTCGGTGAAAAATTATCCGATCATCACGAAAATCAATCGTGATATCTTCATAATGACATTGACCTACAAAATACAAAAGAATCTGTAAAGATTTGTAGCCGGTAGAGCGAGCAGAGTGATTGCAATATACTCCCAAAATATATTTGTGGGCGTATAAACATGATATTTTATCTAAGAGTTCAATCTGAGAGAATGTGTAGGCCTGAGACCTCTATACAAAAGTTGTGTTTTTAAACCTTTCATGTTCAGATTCGTTATGTTAAGTCAAATGGCCTTCTGTTTTTACTCATCTGAATACGATTATACTGTACCATGTCATTCTCTTGATGAGAAGTTATTTTCGCTACAACCTGCTCCCAAAATAAATCTTAAAGAAATTTGTATACTGTTTAACTATTGTTGTACTGCCTGGCTTCCTAAAATAAACTCAGATTTCGTACAACCTGAATATTAGCCTTAGTTGATGATAATGGTTAATTAACCTAAATTCAGCTAAAAACAGTCATTCAATTAACTCATAAATACCCTTTGTCATACTTATAATTGTATAAAGTCAAAGTGTACTAAAAATTAAGATGCAATAAAAGCACGGTATAAACATTTTAATGTTTTAAAACTAAATGCCTTTCAACTTTAGGTGCGAAATAATGAGATACGTGTAAATGGGAATTTGAAATAAGTTGATTTTGAGATTTTCATGAATTGGTACTTACATACCAAAACACTATTTTGAGAGGTCAATTAACCCTTTCCTCAGAAACGGGAATTGGTCAGCTAACCTATTCACTTACATTAGTGTAAGTACATTAAAAGTTATTAATTGATAGAGCTCATAACTCTTTTCAACGAAATGATTATGCTAGAAGACTCAAAATGCATGTATCATTATTTGCAATATTTCCACTAAAATAATGAAAAAGTCGTGGGAGTGACTTGTTAACTTTAATATTTAACATATCATTTTGATTCCAGTCACGCTATAAAATATATATAAAATAATAAATAGAGCCTGTTGTAGGCGTTTTATTTGATCATCAATTAGTGTTTTATTGTCTCTTAATATGTTCTACTTTGATAAAGAGTATTCAACTGATGTATAAACTTCATAACTATTTCATCTCTTACATTTGACCTTTCATATTACTGGTGTATATTAAACTACATATTTACAGGATGGGAAACCTAATCTTTAGATGGATTAACTCTAAGCCTGAAATTAATAGAAATGGGATTTGGAATTCCCACGTGTTTGTTATGAGTTAAAAGAGATCGACTAAACTTATAAATGAAAATCTGTTTGTATGCTTCTTCAGAGAAATTCATGATCAAGCAAATCCGATATTCATGCTTTTTTCCCCAAGCCATGGGCAAAAGCTCATTTCAAATTTACAAACGATTTCATCAATTCATAGGGTTAGAATCAGATGAGATAAGATGCGTTAGCTGATACAAGATGAGGAACTAAAAAAATCCTTCGTGCAAATAACCTAACCTCGCCTCAGATCTCATTAACTTAGAATATCAGTTTTAACTTCAAGCATCTATCGTGCTAACAAGCCAACTTTGATGTTTTTTCAATAAATCAATAGCAATCTTTGTCTAACTCTTACAAGTTTAAACGAAATATTGTCGAATTCAGGTACAATTTGAGAGCATTGTGACACTTATAGTATCACAATCAGCTAGAGATTTGGATATGATAATTTCCTATACTCCATTCAAGCTATCTGTGTGTTAATAATATCTCTAATAACTGACTAATGCAAAATGAGGTTACGAATCATGATACGTTGGTATATTCAAGTGGATGGTGTCCAGATTCGAACTTATACGACAAATTGTGTATACACGGCTATGTGAAAGATTTAAAAAAATTCTTACAAAAACTGTCAAATGTATGTGTAAAAATATGTAAAATATCAGGAATCTTTACTCAAATGCCCACAAATTCTTATACATATCTTCTCTCCTTGAAATTATTACCACACGCTTATTAGTCTCAAACCAAACATTTTTTATGAAGTTTTTAATATTACGTTATATAACGTTTTGTAATATTTAAAAAATTTATTACGAAAATAAACATTTCTTGTATCAGATCAACAGCGGTCAATGAATCTTAATTTGAAGCTTATATTTAACATGATATTCTTTGTAAAAGATAGCTAGCCAGGCAAAGTAATATACGCCCACTGGCAGCTATGATTATGAATATATTTAGCTGTACAGTAACAATGACCAGTTTGAAATATTCAACCATAAGTTGTACACTTTTTTCGAACTTTTTGTGGCGATACTGAATAATATTACGAAGTTTTGTCAAAATCCGGCAAGAATTGTGCCTTTTAAGTGTTCATGAGATAAAAATTGAAAGCGTTTTCCAGGACAAGGGCAATAAGTCATACCAAATGTTTTTATAATTTTTAATAGGATTCATCCTTAAGTGATAAACTCTCACACTACGTTTTGTCCAAATCTGTTTACGAGCTACAAATTAAACACGTTTGCAAGAACAAGGGCAATAACTCTTACTAAATATTTTTTGGATTTTCCAGATTTTAGATAGGGTTCATCCTTCGGTGATAACAAAGATTCACACCAAGTTTCGTCAAAATCTGCCTATTATCGAACCTTCTGGAGTGTTTACAAGACAAAATTGAACGCGTTTTCAAGAACAAGGGCCATAACTCATACTAAAATTTTTTCAATTTTTCTGATTTTCAATAGGTTTATGCCCAAACACTCACACCAAGCCGAAAGCTGTCAAGAATTGTGCGATCTAGAGTGTTTACGAGCATTTCAAGTAACAAGGGCAAACACTTATACTAATTATTTTTCTATTTTTCTGATTTTCAATAGGGTTCATCCTTGGGTGATTACAAACAACCATACCAAGTTTCATCAAAATCAGTCCAGAATTGTGACTTCTAAAGTATTAACGAGCAATTGCGGACGGACGGAATGACGGACATCGGTGACAACGATATACGACCCACATTTCATGTGGGCGTATAAAAAATATATTTTAGCCAAATGAAGTGGTTTGATAGATACGAATTCAAAGTCCACTCAATGCACAAACAAAATTGAGCAAAATTTATGGCACTCACAAAACAAAATGTAACATGTAGAGATGAGAGGAAATATTTATTTTCAAATCATTCGCCATTGATAGAACTAATAAGGGAATGATCTACATTCAAGGAATGTTCAAAGAACAAAACCACATATGAAAAATAATGTGTCTTGTAGTCCAATGTGAAAGCTAAATCTTTAATTACTTGTAAACAGCAAATAAGGAAAAAATACCTCATGAAAGTGACCTACAAAAGACAAAAAATGAAAACAATCGTTTCTTATCACAAGATAAATGTTATTCTATAAGGCAGTTATCTATATGTTCATTAATTTTATCATTTCCAAGACCTTCTTCAAACTTTAACCCACATATAGGACAACTAATGTCTTTCTTGACTTCTTTTTGTGAGCTTTGTTTGGCAAATGTAGAGAATAATGTTTCTTGTTTACGTCTTTTCAAGGTTGGTGAAAAAACACTGTTATTAGCTGTCCTCTTTTTACTCATGTTTTTAGATTCTTTTAAAATCTCGACTGTTTGCTTTTTTAATGATTGGGAGTTATTGTCTTTAGTTTTAGCACGATTTAAAGCAATACTGTCACTATCAGATGGATTAGCATCACCACCACATACATCTTTGGTGAAATCTTCATAAGACACTGAGAGACATTCTGTTTTCACTGTAGGTTTGGAGCTGTCTGTGTTTGAGGTAGAAGGTTTAAAAAAGTTTTTAATAGTTAATGGAGGAGTTATTGCCTTCTTATAACATCTAGGTACCACACTTGCCACATCTTCTGTTATTGATTGAAATGTTTTTAATTTGGGAGGATCTATTAGAACTTGACCTTCTTGACCTTGACTAATCATCTGCAAAACATTAAAAAGTTGGCATTAATATGATAAGGATGTCAGTTATTATTCAACAATTGCTTTCACATTTAACTTGAATTTTATTTTACATACGTATTTTATTTAACATGCTGGGTATGTATTATTTATACATTAAAAGTTTGCATAACCTCTAATTAGTCCCAATTCAACTGTTATGACCAGATTGGTGGCTGGCCTCTGACCTTTGACAACGATAAATATTTGAAACCTTCATTTGGGAAAGGTGGTATACCAAATGTGGTAAATTTGTACTATTGATTGAAAAATATGCTAATAATATCCAGCAAATTTTAAGTCAGTGTCAGACTTGTTGAAATATTTTCTTAAAGGGGGGTTGTTTTGTAAAAAAAAAAGACAAACTCACAGCTTGAGATTGAGCTTGTTCAATCATATTTCTTTCTATCAAAGCTTTCTCTACCTCAATAATCAACTGTTCTGGATAGCGTACACCGACTATTCTTTCACCTGTATCTAACTCAACACGTACTACACGAATATGACTTTCATATTTCCTGTAAATACAACCAAATAATATCATTTATTTATGCTTGAAAAAACAACATAGAGCTGTTTTTATGATATTTTCATGCTTTAATGAGCATTCTGTAATCACCCTGTTTACTATAGTTTTTTTTTATTGTTTACAAGAAAAGAAAAAACAATCCTATAGTCAACCTGTGATCACTATACTATGAAGATATCTTTGAAACTATGCTTACATATAAATAAAATTATCAAGATGATACTTACGATAATCCATATTTAACAGAAAACTTATTTAATGTACATTCTAATACTGACATCAATGTTACAATATTACCACATATAAGATGAAGTTTGTATGTTCTGCTACCAACTAGTAAATAAAAGAAATGAAGTCTTTCTTTGATATTTTATAATAAATTTCAAGGCATTTTTTCTCCTTAAGGAGAGACGGGACATATTGAGTTGCAGTACAAAGAAACCACAACATAATTACATAAATTCTTAACTATCAGTACCTTGATGAAGGATAAATGTGCGAAGGAAAAGCCAAAGGCAGTTTTCAATACCAGTGCCCTGTTAATTCACTAAATTTTGTCTATTTCAGAGGAATTAAAAAAGGAATGTACCACTACAACCGGCTCTCTGTCGACAGGAGTCACCATGCATACAACCATCACCACTACTTTGATACATATCCTTCCAGCCCTTCTCTGGAATATACGATGGACCAATGATTAGTCAGAGAAAATGGTAGAAGATAAGGTGTGCTGTTGAAACTAATGTTTTTAGTTTTGGTTAATAATGACTTTGTTAGTGATAATTAGTAATTAGGAAGTAAATCAATGGATATAATCTTACCAATAATTGGTATTTTGATAGTGGTATGTACCATTATGACATTTGTGGCCAGTGCAATTTGGCACCTCTACACAATGTGCACACTTAATTCTAAATTTTCTTGTCATTTTATTATGACTATATAACCTTGGAAGCCAAACAAGTTTCAAATTCTGGAACTTTTACCATGATGTATGTACTTATTAAACATTAATTATGTAAAATGTGATGAAAGAGGAATAGATACTTATCTAATCAATTCTTACACTTAATATTTCTTAAGAATGAAAACTAGCGTATAAGATAACAATATTGAAGAAATATCAGGGAAAAGCTTTTAGAAATGAAAATAAGAACGAATGAATGCATTATAAAATCTCAAGTATTACAATACATATCAGTTGGTTGTTTTTTTATTTATGCCATGACAATTATACATATCAATATTTACAATTATTATCTTGTATTATATTATTTAAGACTTATTTGTATTGTTATTATAAACAATGTTGTTTATTTGTATTTGAACATTACTAATTGTTACCTATCAATACATACATGTATACTTTTACGTTTTTTGTTAAAATATTCTGAAGCACTAAACAGTGTTTGAACATTACATCTTCATTTTGGAAATTTATATTCAGGCCATATCTTTAATATTAAAGACCATGTCACAACATTTATCAGCCTTGATAAATAATAACACTGAGCTTATTTAGTATATATTTACAACTTTGCCCCCCTTTCAGGAAAGCACTGAAAGTATTTAGAAGATTAGAGGGTGATACTATATTCTTTGGGGTTATTTTGTCTTGTAGGTATATAAATATGCCACAATAAGTTCTGTTTAATCTTTTTAAATTTATAAAATTAGTGATTAATATTTGTAATTATGCCACAGTATAACCAAGCCTTTTCTGTTTCATTTCTTAAACTTGTCAATTGATCTGAAGACATTTATTGACATATATTTGTGATTTTTAAATACTATGTGTAGACATTTGTTATGAGTAAATTTGTTATCAACACTGGATGTTTGTTATCCTATCCTAGAGTTGTTACTTGTTACATTTTATCTTCATCAGCTTTTATAACATTCCCTGTTCATTATTATCTAATTAGTAATGGTAATGAACTATGAACAGTAGAAAAGTAGTTATTATTATTATCATTAGTTGTTATCAAATATGATATAGTTTTAAAACAGTACCGGTAGTTATGAAAAGTAATCATTACCAGGTGTGAAATATGAAGTAATGATAACAAATAATGATCATTAATCATGCACTGGATGTTAGTATAATCTTGTTGATTTTCATCAAGAATCATAAGAAAAATTCACATATTACTTTTATAATAGCCATGTAGCCTCAATGTAATAAATAGATTATTATTTTGTGTACAATATGTACAACTTATTAGAAATTAGAATATGAGGTATTGCTGCTACAACCGTTTCATTGTGTATTTAAACATATGTCATAATATGTGCTATGTATTTGTAATGACTACCAATTTATCATTGGTTTTGTAAACTAAAATCATTCCATAGATTAGCATTAATTATTGTATATATACTAGTTTAGAAAATTGTTTTTCTGTTTTGTTGAGAGGATTGCATCACACCAATCAAATTACAAGTGTAATTAATTTCATACTCATTCACTGTTTTAATTCAATATTCAAAATCCTGGAAATCCAAGAAAATTATTATTAATCAAATTAACATCATAACCTCAGATATCTGAACTACAAACCTCACTCTTCTGAGGCTTATGGTATTTCTACCAACATCGTCAAGTAGACAATAATGCAGATAAACATAATATATTGAAGTGAATATTAAAATGATGCAATCTTCTCAGAATAACTTGATATGTAAATAATATGTATGACACTAGAATATAAGTATAGATAGTTAGATTAGTATATAATGTAGTTCATAGACAATTGTTTATGTCAAATTTCAAACTTTCAACACAAGAGACAGATCTTTTTGATAATGGAAACAATCTTATTGGACATGAGAGAGCATAAATTCCCAGAATATGTTGAAATGATGAAATTTGACACAAATCAAGTTATATTTATCTTAAATGTTTTCAATATATATTTCTCACATTTGTACTTTTTTAGAAGGTTGTTTACATTATAAGATATATATTCAGGATTCTAGACACACATAATAGTCTCTTCTACTTATTTTACTTCTCTTTCTTCTATAGGTAGTTTACTTATTACTTTTACAAGTTAGTAGAATGACCAATGAATATAATTGGTCTATATTAATCTTAGCTCAACAATAACAATGTTGTGCATAAAGTTAAAAGGTTGCCAGTGTGATTGCAAAGATGAACAGACTTATTTCTACAAACACTTATATGTTTTTTTGTGCTCATGTGGAACCCTATTTCCACCTTTAATTATCTCTGAATCATCTTTTGATAAAACTGGAAGTATATTCTGACAAATTTTACTATTCTTAATTCCTATTTATTCTCTATTGCTCTATCTACTTTTGTTTTCAATGTTAACTACACATCTTAGCAGTAAAAATAAAGAAATAATCATACTTTTGTCTTATCTTTAGGGCAATATTATCTTCTTTTTCCTTGATCCAATTCTAACAACATCTAAGAAGTTTAACAGGATACTGGTAATAACAGTTAAATCAATAACTACCAACAACTTGAAGTAATATTTGAAAACTACATTTATATTAGAATAAGCTTACATACCTGCAGCAGCAACATCAATCTGAGAATATTTTCTTAATAAATCCGATTTTTCTTCATCAAAAGCTGAAACTCCTGTATTTGGTCTGAAAAAAAATATTAAATAATTAAATATCACCAGGTAATATTAAGTTACCCTACTCACTCAGTAAAGGTTATCTTTATGCAATGCACTTTGTGAAAATGACATCTTTTTATAACTTGAAAGTATAACATAAGTATCATTGTCAAAAGAAGGAATCTATATTCTAATATTACAGGCCAATTGACCCGGTTATAAGAAGGGAGCAAACTATGTATATTTGGTGATATTGAAAATGCAATGTTAGTTTAAAACCTTTTAATGTATTTTAAAGGGCGAGCCTGACTTGTTCTACATTCTTTTTTTCATCTATATACATTTTTTACAAATACAGTTTTTCAAGTTTTGCGAGGAATTATAATTAGGATTGTAGCCTTATTACCTGCAGATAGTATACAAATGAGATGAGTTGTCTTTCTTTGTTGCTAAAATATACATCTTTCTACCCCACATATCTCTTTTAGAAACATAGAAATTTCCAGAACCTCCAGAATGTTCTTGTTTCTTCAATGCTGCTTCCCAACTCATTCCACGGTCAACTTTCAATAATGCAGACCTATTATACAAATCATGTATTTGGTATGTATATTAAGTATACTGTACTTATAAAATAGCTGCTTCAAACAAAACCAATGAAAGCCATGTAAATACACTTTATAAAAGTATTTATTTTGAAAATTGCACCAATTCAGAGATCCTGTATTAGTTAAAGGCTTTACTGAAAACTGAGTGTAAAAAGAAAATAGCACACTTTTAAAATGAGGGTTTACTAATACAAACCACAATCAAAATGGAATTGTATTCAAGATTCATTTTTCAATCTTTTGACAGTTTTCAAAGTATGCAGGAGCATTGCTACTTACTGTGTGGTGCCATGGCCTCGAGATAAATTACTGAAAATTTCTGTAGGTTTACCAATTAACTGTATAGAGGTGGCTGTAATATCTAACATTCCTTCATTATACCTGGTAAAATTAATCATAAATACAAAATAATACAAAAAACCCTAGCTAAATATATATTTTTTTTAATTCCATAAACATAGTAAAATGGAGATAACCATTTCTATATTGTATTTCTAAATATATTTCCTGGTATCAATTATTTTATTTTATTCAATCTGCATTACTTTTATCAGATATTCTTGTACATGTCTTACCTTCCTTCCTTTTTAGCATTTTTGATAATAACTTTCATAGCTTCGGTAAAGTAGTTGAAAATCTAAAATATCAAATAATAACATAATATACAAATCTATCTTTTCTGATAAAATGTTACTAGATCAGCTAGCTTGCGGAGCATTATGCAACATAAGTGATAAGACAAATGGAAATGTAGCAAACTAATGGTAGAAGAAATAAAATTGGCAATGATAAACAATTACTTACAAGATTTTGTTTTTCTACAGCTAAGCCAAGAATACGGTTGAGAAATTTACTAACATCACCAGCATCTTTATCTTTTATAACACATCCTGTTCTCATAGATTCTACTTCTACTAATCCCATTAATACTAAACTTTCCTAAAATACAACATTAATACTTAACTTTCCTAAAATACA